GAGGGAGGAGGAAAGCCTAACTCCAATGTGCTTCTCAGGAGAACAAAGGATGATAATCGTGGGTGGAGCCAGTGCAGAAACAGATTTGGAGGCCTGCAGTGGTTTTGGGGCAAGTTCTGTAACAAGAAGCAACACTGCATGGCCAAGGGAAAAGTTAGAGGAAAGGTGACCTTTAATATCTCAGCACTCAGTGAATGCAACCACTAGAGACCCCTCTGAATGATCCTCCAGGATCTGAAAAGGACTTCAAGAAGGAGGTGGATGCCTGGGAATGGGTCCTAGGAAAGTGATGTTTATGTATTAGATAAGGAGCAAACGTTAATAACTCTGTGTGGTTATGATGGATAAAACCCGTGTGGTAAAGTCTCACTCCAAGGAGATATATGGAGAGATCCATCTATGTGTCATTTGGAGGTAAAAAATTCCTGGTTCCTAATGTTTCCCATTGTTTTTGAAAGTTTATTCCAGCTGAATTTAGTATCACTCCCAGTTCCCATCTCCACCCATTTCCCCATGCCATGCCAAGCCATCCATTCCCATCCCATCCCATCCCATCCCATCCCATCCCATCCCACCCCATCCCATCCCATCCCATCCCACCCCATCCCATCCCATCCCATCCCATCGCATGCCGATGGGTTCCCAGTTCCTGGCCTCTCCCTGGCTGCAGGTGTGGCGTGTTGGGCTCTGCTGCTGTCCAGTGGCAGATTTGGGATTGGTGGCACCCAGAGTCCTCCTGCCCCCTCCAGCCCCTGTCTGCCTGATGCCTTGGGCTGGCTCCCTGGAACAGAGGCCAGAGCAGGTGAAGAGCATAAAAGGAGGCATTGATGAAAGGCCTTCAAAAGGTTCACCCTGGGCTCTCAAAGCCTGCAAGAGGGGCTGCACCCAAAATGGACAATGGTCATGAGTTTTTCAGACAGATGTAAGTTTGGTCCATTTACAGATCAGAGGTTAATCCTCCATTTACAGCTTCAGGTAATGAAGTCATTTAGCCCCAGTTTGCCCTCCCCCAATTCATTTTTGTCTGTACTTTTCCATGCTGATGGCAGTGTCCTTGAATTTCAGGCCTAGAGGGATTGTTATGTCTGACCAAAATGTGCAGACAGTTAACTAACACTTTCCATGCAGTTTAGGGTTATGCACTAATGCAGTACGAGATGTGAAAAAGAGAAAGGCTAAAATCCTAAGGCCTCATGCCCCCTCTGACATCCTCTAGAAATTCCCCCCAGGCTGCCTGCCCCTCCAGACAGCCCCGCTCCTCTCCTGCCCCACTCAGGAGCCCCAGCAGTGTTTGTGCTCCTCCTGGCAATTCCATGCTTCTGCAGTGCAATGAACAGCAGTGGAGCCATCCCTGTAGTGCCTCTTGTTTGTGTCCAAAGGAGGTTGGGGGGCTGGAGAGCAGGGATGGAGCTGGGGAGGGGCATCTCCAAGAGAAAGACGGCCCCAAAGCCTTCCGGGGCAGGCTGGGGTGAGCAGCCCGTGGGGAGGGAGTGGAGTGGAGCCTAAGCCCCGGGGCTGGGAGGGATGGGAAGGACGGGAGGTGGGTGGGCTGCATGGGGAGTGGGATGGGAGGGTGGTGTGGGAGGGGTGGGACATGATGGAGCTGCTGGGAAGATGTGGTGGGAAGGTGTGGGGTGTGGTGGGGCTGGAGAGAAGGTGTGGGATGTGGTGGGGCTGGTGGCCTCAGGGAAGCCCCAGGGAGGGGGGTGATGCCCCGTGGAGCCCATGGTGACAAACACAGGTGTCACCCTGCTCCTGGAAGGGGGTGGCTGTGCTGAGGATCACGGCCTCCTCCTCTCCTTGCTGCTGCACCACCTGAGCCTGCTGAGGGAGCAGCTGAAGGCAGTGGAGAGGAAGAATTTCTGAAGGCAGAGACACCTTTGCACCTGGCTCACAAAATTAAAAATTAAAGATCTTTGAGGAGATCTCTGCTGTAACACTCACAGAGCACTCAGGGTGGGGAATGCTGAGCCCCTGGGCTGTAGTAAACCCCACAGGCCTAGCAAAGGTGCCCTGGAGAATGTAACAATAGGAATGCTGATGCAGCAAAGAAGTTCCTGTCCCCCTGACCCAGAATCTATACCCTTTTAAGGAAAAATCTTGTAACTCCTACCTATTGGTCACTTATGATTCTTCCAACCTTATGCCATTGGTCAGGCTTGGAAGGCTGCCAAGGCTATAAAAGTAGCATACTGTACCCTACTAACCTTGAAGAAGAGGAGCTGAAACCCTTCACAGCACCCTGAATAAAGACATCGCTGTGGAATCACTCAGCCTCGGCTCCTTCTGCTCTCTCTCAGTCTGCTGGAACCTCAAGCCAAAGCGCAAACTTTCTAGCAGCAAGCTGAAATCTAAAGCTGGCTAATCAGTTTAAGAGCTGAATATATCACAAGCTTGCTAGGGGTTTGACTCTGTGGCCTTGGTCTGAGCAAGCAGCCTATGGCGCTCTCTCCCTCTGGGGAAGGAGCTCCCTGGCTAATGCTCTGCTCCTGATAAGACCAGATTAAGGCTCATTACTGGGCCATCATGTCTGTGCCCGCCCAGCTCTGGGCACTGGGGATCATGGTTTCTCCAGGGATCACAAGCCATGGCTGTGTCCCCTCTGAAATCAAGACATTTTACGTCTAACCAAATAAGTGTGTTAGACTAATAACAATTTTCCATCAAAATTGTGAACATATTGGAAATTTATTTGCCATAGATACCTCCGAAGAAACAACAATTTTCAGGCATTTTTATACACCATAATATCCAACATTTTTTATAGATGCTCCCCAAAGTGCTCCAAATTTTTTACCTCATGGTATTGATGTCTTGTTTAATTCCTACCAGAACTTGCAGAATCTCTTTGTTTAATGGATAACCCGTGTTTTTCCCAGGCAAATAGTTTTTTACTGGCAGTACACGAATGCTGGTGAAGAACCCCCTTGCCCTGGCTCCCTGCAGTGTTTGTGGGTAGGAGGGAGAGGCTGGGGAAAAAAGGGTGGTTTAAAGTTTTATATTACTTCTCATTATCATCCTCTGAATCTGTTAATAATAAATTTACTTAATACCATTAAATTTGAACAAATTTTTCTATTCTTGGGGTGTTTTTTCTCCCAGTCCTCATCTCAACTCATGAGCCCTTTCTTAATTTTTGTTTCCCTCTCCTCTGCCCAGCTGAGAGCAGGAGAAGGTGAGTGAATGTCTTTCATGGCTGCCTGGCGTTTGGCCAGTGCCAAACCACGACAGGCTTGCAGCAGGTTATCAGCATCAGAGCCCACATTTCTTACTGACAGTACCCCTGATGATGCAATAAAAGTTATTGGAGATCAGATGTTGGGGTGCTGGGGTGCCCCTTGCAGCCCTTCACCAGAGCTCATCCTCCTCCTCCTCAGCCTTGGGAATACTTGTGGTTGTTTATTCCTGATCTCACCCTTTGCAAGCAGGGAGACCTTCACTAGACCGGGCTGCTTCAAACCCCATCCAGCCTGGCCTGGAACAATTCCAGGGATGGAGAGGCCAGAGCATCTCTGGGAACCTGTGCCAGGGCCTCTCTGCCCTCACAGGGAGGAATTTCTTCCCAATATTCCATCTAACCCTGTTCTCTGGTAGTGGGAAGCCATTCCCCCTTGTCCTGTCACTTCAGGCCTTTGTCCAATGCGCCTCTCCAGTTCTTGGAGCCTTTTTAGGCCCTGGAAGGGGCTCTAAGGTCTCCCTGAAGCCTTCCCTTCTCCAGGCTGAACAGCCCCAGCTCAGAGACCTCAGAGAAGCCACAGGGAGGGGGTTGATGCCCCGTGGAGACAATGGTGACAAACACAGATGTCACCCTGCTCCTGGAAGGGGGTGGCTGTGCTGAGGAGCACGGACGTCTCCTCCCCTTGGAGCTGCACCATCTGAGCCTGCTGAGGGAGAGGCCAAAGCCAGGGCAGAGGAAGAATTTCTGAAGGCACCAAAGAACCAGCAAGGATATCAGTAAAAACAGTAAAATCAGTAAAAAGGTTTAACAATGAGCAACAGCACACCAAAGTGCTGTCCCTGTGTGTGTTTTTGTGTGTGTTCAAGGGCATCTGACAAAAGGACACAGGGTAGGGATAAAAAGAAGGTTAAGGATAAAAAAGAAAAGAGCCTAAAAGATTTACAGCACTCCAACTTAACAGTATTCCATTTATAGTTTCAAGTTAGCCATTCAACAGAGGAACATCTCTTAACTGCTTTAACTTACGTCTTATACTTCCTTCCAGGCCTGCCCCAGTGAGATGTCTCAGGTACTACTAACACAGCTGAGAGAGCAGCATTTCTGCCACATTTGCCAGAGCAGATGCAGACGTGTGTGCACACAGCCAGCCAGGCAGAGTGAGTGCAAGGTGCCTGTGAGCAATTGCCCTGGCAGGCAGTGAAATGCTCCCTGCGGATCCCTTTGCATCTCCCTGGGCCAAGGGCTGGGCCTGGAGCCCTGGGGGGATGGGCCCAGGAGCCGTCGGCGTTCAGGGATCAGCCCAGGGCAGCAGCCGGGAGAGATCCCAGCTGGGAGAGGCCCCAGTGCCAGGGAGCTTCTGCTCAGCGCTGCTGGGCCCAGCAGAGCTCCAAGGCTCTCCTTTGGGGCCGCTGCTCACAGGGCCCCAAGGCATGGGCGGCACTCACAGCAATGGTTCAGCCTGGCCACACTTGGGGCCGGCAGCTTCCTGGGACAGTGGCAGAGCAGGGATGCTGTGGCATCCAGGGCAGTACAATAATTTGCAAGGCTGTTGATAAAAGCCCAGGAGGTGGTTGGACAGCAGCAGTTGCTGGGAGCAGAGGGTGTTTCTGATCAGCGCCACAGGAGCTGAGCCCAGGGGCTGCTCCTCAAGGCTGAGGCCTCCCAAGCACAGATCAGAGTTCAGAGTGGCCTGGAAAGGGGCTGGGGATGCAGCAGCACAGGGAGGGTGATCCTGTGGGTATTTATTGATCAGGAGACTCAAGCAATCTCTCAGCCACTGTCCCAGGGTCCTTCAGCAGTGCAGTGGAAGAGATCAAGAGGCTCAGGCCTCTCTGTACATGGTGGTCTCATGGCTGTGGGCAGTGTTTTCTTCTGGCTCCTCAAAGACCCTCTGGAGGGAGAGCAGGAGGGACTCCACAGAGCAGGGCCTCCAGCACCTCCCCACCAAGAAGCAAATGATGGGGTTGCTGCTTCTGTGGATGCAGATGAGCAGGAAAAGAACCTGGGAGGGCAAAATGGTGTAGCTGAGTTCCTGCAGGAAATGGCAGAGGATGAGGGGCAGAGTGAAGAGCACAAAGAGGCAGATAACAATATCGAGTCTCTTGGGCTGCTGCTGATGGGAGCCAGGCTTGAAATGAGTGAAGACAATTTTGCTGGAAATGAGGATGAAGGGAGCACAGAGGAGGAGGTTGAAGGCGTGCATGGAGATGTAAGAAACCCAGCAATGCTCAGATAGCAGGACAATGCATGGAGAAAATATTATGGCAATGACAATGATGAAAGTGATGAAGAAGGCCCCGAGCATGGCATGGATCACCTTCAACAGCTGCTTGGGATGGTGGCAGCAGTGCCAGAGCAGGCAGTGGGTGGACCTGCACCTCTTGATGCTGATGAATGTCAGTGTGCACAACCACACGCTGTGTGACACTGCTGAGATCCTGAAAAGCAACCCACGTACTGCAAGGGCATGATGCTAGAGCAGGACACATTCTCCAGCAGGAAGAGCAGAGTGGAGGGCAACACAAAGAGGAGGAGGAGGAAGTCCAAAAAAGTCAGCATCAGAATGTAAAGGATGGTGTTGTTCCTGGACAAAAAGTGGGACCCAAGGAGCCAGAGCACAGCCCCGTTCCTGGCCAGCCCACAGAGGCAGATGACCAGGGTCACACTGTGGGTGGCCACACTGGTGACATCTGTCTCACAGAGATCATCTCCTTCAGTGGGTGAGGCAGGAGATGGGGACACGGTGGTCACCTCCAAGGGTGGACGCTGGGCAGGCAGTGGGATGTGGCCCCTGGCTGTGGTCAGAGTGGATGGGCAGTCAGTGCTTGGAGAATCCAGGGATGGACCATGTGGCTCCTCAGCATCTCCCTACTGTGGGAAGGGTTCAGTGGGGATGAGTGAGATGTGCAGGGGAGGAGGGCAGTGGGAAGAGGAGGGTAGTGGGAATTGTGGGTTGGGAGAGGGAAGCAGTGTGCTTGGACTGTTCAGCAGGAGATGCAGAAGGGAAGTGCTGGATAGAGGAGGGAGGATCTGGGGAGGGCCCTGCGGTCACTGGGAGAGGGTGGCAGGAATAGAGCAGCTGCTGCAGGAGAGGAAGGTGGGCTAGGGAGGAAGGCAAACATTCCACTGACCTGTTCCCTGTGGGGCAGCAGCAGACAAAGGGGTCTGTGCAGATCAGCGGCGCTTCCTGGTCCCTCTTGCTCCTTTGGGATCCATGTCCTAAAGCAGCTCCTGCCAGGTCAGGGACATGAAGGAGAAAGTGCCCAGATCACCAGGAGCTCCCCATTCCCGTCCTGCTGGCTCCTCTCTGTATGTTCTGTCCTGGTGTTGCTCCCCAGACGTCAGTGGAGTCAAAGGGGAGTTGGAAATTGCAGCTTTTGGTATTTCAGAACCTCACTTCCTCAGTGTTTTTGTCTTGGTTTTTATCTTCTACAGAGGAAGTAGCTTTTGAGAAAAGCACCAAATGAAACATTTTGCAAATGGCTCCTCATTTCCTTCTGATGAGAAACATTCCTGTCCTGCAGAGTGTCCCATTCTCCAACTGCCTTCCCTCTCCTGATAGGTTTCTACCATTCCTTGCTTCTCTCTCCTGCGGTGTCACTGTCCCTCCAGCAGCAGAGGGATGCTGGTGGTGCTGGTGGTACTGGAATGCTGGCAGTGCTGGCAGTGCTGGTGAGTCAGCTGGCTGCTTGTCAGAAGTAACTCCTATTTAGGGAGGAGCTCTGGGATCATTGCCAAAGCCTCCCCTGGGTGGAAAGAAGCAGAGCTGAGCTTGTCCCTATCCTATCCTATCCTATCCTATCCTATCCTATCCTATCCTATCCCAATCTCTGCACCCCATCCCCACCCCACTCTCCATCCTCACCCCATCCTATCACATCCCACAGCTTTCCCAGATGGAGCCGTTCCCCCACTCTGAGCGTGGCCTGTCAGGCTCTGCTCTCCTCTGCCTTTGCCAGCATCCAGACCCCCTCCAGCCCCCTCTGACCCTCTCCTGACCCCTCCAGCCTGCTCTGACACCCCAGAACCCACCCAGGGCTGATTTTTTCCCCTGACAGTCACACTCCTCCCCTGCTCCACCAGGGACCCTGGCAGTGTCCCTGCTCCTCTTGGCCACAGGGTTCTAGGACCCAGGAGGGAGGAGGAAAGCCCAACTCCAATGTGCTCCTCAGGATCACACAGGATGATAAATGTGCCTGGAGCCAGTGCAGAAACAGATTTGCAGGCCTGCAGTGGTTTTGGGGCAAGTTCTGTAACAAGAACTCTGTGAAGAAGCAAGAGCACATGGCCAAAGGAAAAGTTCAAGCCAAGGTCACCTTTAATATCTCAGCACTCAGTGAATGCAACCACCAGAGACCCCTCTGAATGATCCTTTAGGGTCAGGAAAGGACTTGGAGTGGGACACATGGATATTAGTTCTAGGAATATTATATTTATGTATTAGCTAAGAAACACACTTAAATGACCGTGTATGGTTATGATGGATAAAACCCCCGTTGTAACCCCTGTAACCACACACAGACCAGGGAGAGATCCTTCTGTATGTGCCTTGCAGCTAGGGAATTCCTGCTTCCTAATGCTTCCCATTGTGTTAGAAAGTTTATTTCAGCTGATCTCAGTGTCACGATATAGAGGGGAAGCACAGGGCAGAGGAGGGGGGAGCTTTGGAGGGCACTGGGGTCACCCAGAGAGGGTGTCAGGAACAGAGCAGCTGCTGCAGGAGAGGAAGGTGGGGGAGGGAGGAAGGCAAACATTCCACTGACCTGTTCCCTGTGGGGCAGCAGCAGGCAAAGGGGTCTGTGCAGATCAGCGGCGCTTCCTGGTCCCTCTTGCTCCTTTGGGATCCGTGTCCTAAAGCGGCTCCTGCCAGGTCAGGGACATGAAGGAGAAAGTGCCCAGGTCACCAGGAGCTCCCCATTGCCGTCCCGCTGGCTCCTCTCTGTGCCCTGTCCTGGTGTTGTTTCACAAGGCTTGGTGGAGTCAAGGGGGAGCAGGAAATTGCATCTTTGGCTACATCAGAATTTCCCTTACTCTGAGTTATTTTTCTTGACCATTTTTTTCTGTCATAGAGGAAGTGGCTTGATATGCAGATTTCTTTGAATGGCTCCTCATTTCCTCCTGATTATAAACTCTTTTCCAAATGGGACATTCTTCAAATGCTTTCCCTCTCTCAGCAAGTTTCTACCATTCCTCATTTATCTACCCTGAGGAGTCACTGTCCCTACAGGAGCAGAGAGCTGCTGGTGGGTCTGGTAGCACTGGAATGCTGCTGGCAGTGCTGGAAGTGCTCACAGCACTGTGCAGTCATCTGTGTGCTTCTCAGAAACAACTCCCATTCTGGGTTGATTTTCAGGATCATTGCCAAAACCTTCCCTGGCCCCAGGAAAGCAAACCGAGCAGAGAATTCCCATTTCTGTGATTGCAATGCAGACTCACACAGCCCAAGGGAAGGAGAGCACTGAGTTGCTTGCAACCAGGTCAGCAGCACTTGGAGCCCACCCTGATTACTGCAAATCCCCTTGATGATGCAATGAAAGCTATCAGGGACCAGGGTGATGTGATCCCCTTTCCAGCCCTTCATTAGGGCTCATCCTCCTCCTCCTTAGACACGGAAGCCCTTGTGTTTGTTTTTACCTCACCCCATCCCTCTGAGCAACCTGTGCCAGGGCCTCAGTGCCCTCACAGGGAAGGATTTCTTCCCAATGTCCAATCTGACCCCACCCTCTGTCAGTGGGAAGCCATTCCCCCTTGTCCTGTCACTCCATGCCCTTGTCCAAAATGCCTCTCCACCGGTTCTAGAGCCCCATCAGCTCCTGGATCATGAAGTGTTTGCCCTTGAAAGGACTGGGCTAGTGAGGGGATGTGAGATTCCATAGCTGGGGACACAAACATGATGTCAGCAGGAAGAGAGGTGACAGTTGTGGTCCCAGGGCCAGCAGTTTCCAGCAGGAGCATCCCAGATCCCTGAGGCACATGTGAGACTGGGTGGGAATCATCTCACCTCAGCTTCTTAGGAATTCCTTGAATTCACTGTGGGCTGCTGTCTGACTGCCAAGAGAGTGTAGAGGATGACTCAGATGAAACCTGCAACTTTCTAAGGATCAATGCCGAGAGAGCAGCATGGATTTACCTTCTCTCTCAGAAGAAATGTAATTGGTGAAATCCTAAATCATCCCTCTGCTGTGTTCCTGTGCTCCAGCCAGCCCGGTGGGAAGGCATCCCAGGGGAGCTGGAATGAGGAGAGCCACAACAACTGGAGCCAGTGTGACAACAGGCAGTGGAGCAAAGTGCCTGTCCCGCTGCTGCTGCTGCTGTGCCTGTGTGGGATGGTGGGAATGGGGCTGTGCTCTGGCTCCTTGGCCAACTGCAGTGCCCTCCCTCTGACTGACTTCCTGGCTGGGAGCTGTGCAAAGGAATTCACCCCCTCTGGTAGTGTTGCCTTCCAGAGGGCTTTTGATGTCTTTGTGCCAGAGCTAGGGAATAGGGACAATAGAGGGGAGTCATCATCAAGTGGAATCATCATGAAAGAGAGGCATCATAAAATAGAACAATAAAATATCCAGAGTTGGAATGGAGCCACAAACACCATGGAGTTGAGCTCCTGGCCCTGCACAGGACATCCCAGCAATCCCAGCCTGTGCCTAAGAGCATTGTCCAAATGCTCCTTGAGCTCTGTCAGGCTGGTGCTGTGTGCAGGAGGGGAACTCCTGCTTGGGGTGGTTTCTGGATGACCTGAGGAATCATCATGGAATAGTTTGGGTTGGAAGGAACCTTAGAGATCATCTCATTCCATCTCTCCTTCTGCCATGGGCAGGGAAACCCAGGAAAACTTTTGGTTTGAAGTCGGTGCTCTTTAGAAAGGAAGGTCAGGGAGGGAGTGGCCTGGGTGACACTGGAGTCAAGAAAGGTGCTGGGAACTTGGAAAAGTACATTGAGGATCATGATCTTGTTGCACTTGCCTTGAGAGAATCCCCTTGGCTGAAATGTCATTCCCTGGATAAGATGTTGTGGAAAGATCCTACTCTCCACTGGGCAGAAAAAGTGGAGACAGGGAGAGAAAACCCCTTTCAGAGGTCAAAGTGTCTCTGTTCTCTTAATTATAATCAACTTGTTAGGAGTTAGAAATGCTTATGAGCATTATAAATGTTCCTAAGATCTTAAACCTCATGTGTGTCTCAAAGTTTCACTCCACAGAAGGCTTTCACTCAGTTCCCTTTCCAGAAGCAGTGGTGCATTGGTTTCCCTGGATTTAAGGCAATGGGAAAAGGAGGGACAACTTCCCCCTGAGCAAGAGATGTGGCTGCTGCCCAGGTCTCTCCCAGCAGGAATCAGGAGCTCTTGGCACTGCCAACATCATCCCAACCATTGCAGGCACGTGCCTTAGGAAGGGCTGTGGTATGAGACAGGAAGCTGCCCTGCTCCCAGACCAGCCAGAGGCTTTAGAATGGGATAAAAGAAGGAAATGAGCCATGTTGGATGCTGTTCAACAGGGACAGGCTCAGCAGTCATGCCTGGATGCTTTTTATTCAACAAATTTTGGGTCCGATATTACCCCAATGCAGGCAAAAAACCCCCATGAATCCAAATCTGATTGAGGGGTAGTTTCAGAATGACAAAGATCAGGAGAGGCTGGACTGTGGCTGGAGCTGCTGTGCAGAGTGGCTGTGCAGCTCCTCCTGAGGGTGGCCAGGTTCAGGATGGAGGTGCTCAAGGGCTTCCCTGGACACTGATGCTGGGGAACCAGAGGATGGATGGCCCCATTCTGCAGAAGAGCAGCATAACCCCCTAATCTCTGTGCAATTCAATGGTCCGAGCATCTGGTGATGGGAATTTCCATATTCCATGTACTTTCTGGATACAGGCACAAAGGATCAGTGGAGTTCACTCTCAACACTGCATTTTACTCTGAAGGATTTGATTCTGGAATTGAAGAATGTGAGACATTCCCACTGAAAGGATAAGGGAATGTTGCTGTCCCTCCCCAGCTCTGCAGCCCTACCTGGTGTCCCTTCCCATCAGCTGGGAATGCAGGGCCGGCTCTGCTGGACAGAAGGGGAAGGATGCTCCCTGTGATCCCAACCCCTCTCCTGCCATCCAGAGGCACCAGCCCTGCAGGGATTTGGGAAATCACTGCGACCCCATGCTGGGTGTGTCCCCAGGGATTAAGGTGTCCCATTCTTTGCAGGCAAGAGCTCCCTGGAAACACCAGGGAACTCATCTGCTGAGGCAAAGGAGATGGAGTTCATTCCCTGGGGCTGAGGCCATGAGGGTCATTGCATGGGGAATAGAGCTGGGGAACAGCACTGAGCCCAGCTGCACTGCTTGGAGCCATGTGGATCCAGGATCAAGGACGAAACCATGCTCTAATGTGCTCCCTGCAGAGCATCCCGCAAAAATCACCCAAGGCAATGCTCCTGCTCCCTTTTGCTGCAGGAATACACCACCATGGGGAGGGTGATCCTGTGTGTATTGATTCATCAGGAGGCTCAAGGAAACCGTCAGCCATTCTCCTCAGGTCCTACAGCAGAGCAGTGGAAGGGATCAAAGTGCTGTGAGAGTCTGTTCGAAATATCCTTGATTTTTGCGTCATAATTGCCAGGAAGACCACCAAAAAGTCAAAAACTGTTGAGCGGGTGGGATATGGGGAATCACATTCTTCTTAGCTCAATGTGTCCACAGGTGTTGTTTGATAACACGCCACGCTGATCTTGAAGGGGCACCCTGCCCTTTCTGAACAATGGACCTGGACTTTCTCCCCACCTCCTGGCCTGGCTGGTTTGAGCTTTGGGGTGGTCCCTCTTCCAAGAGAAGACCCCTCTCGCCTGCCTTCCACCATCATGACAGACAAGCAGAGATGTAGGCCTCTTCATCAAGGAACCAAGACAAGAAACCCCTGTGCAAGAAAACCCCCCTCACACCTTCTTCCAGAGACTGGGATGGAACCCTTCTCAACTCGGGGGAGGTGTGCAGTGTGGGGAGGAAAAGCTGCCCAGAGTAAGCGCAGTGTGAGCACTGGGCCGTGAAAACAATGGTACCTGTTGCCTGGCTTGAGTTTGTGTACCCCCTATTCTTTTCCCCCTCGCAGACCTTTGTTTCAGCTGAGAAACCATTCCCCTTCCCCCAGTGAAAGATGGTATAACTGGGGTCCTGGTCAGCTGTGCCTTTTGGGATCTCCCTGGACGTGGCCTGGTGAGCTTTTGACGGCTGGACCTCAAAGGATAAAAGCAGCATCACGTTTTGGTAGCTATACCCATCTCCCATCCTTTCCTCCCTCTTTTCCTTATCTTCTCCTTTTTTCCCTGGTTCCCCCCTCACCAACGCATTTCTGTTGTGTTTAAGTCAATAAAACTGCATTTGTTGATTTTGTTACTGCAAATCCCCTGTGCCTCTGTGTGTTCTTTTTGCACCTTAAAATCACCACGTTACCCATTCACTAGGGCGGATCGCGAGAAGTGCCCAGACCGCTGTGTCCATGATGGACTCATCGCTGTGGGCGATGTGTTCTTCAGCCACCTCAAAGACCCTGTTTTCTTCTGCCTCCTCAAAGACCCTGTTCTGCCTCCTCAAAGACCCTCTGAAGGGAGAGCTGGAGGGGCTCCATGGAGCAGGGCCTCCAGCATCTCCCCACCAAGAAATAGATGAAGGGTTTGATGCTGCTGTGGATGCAAGTGAGCAGGAAAACAACTTGTGAGGACACAGTGCTGTAACCGAGCTGCTGCAGGAAATCACACAGATTGAGGAGGAGATTGAGGAGCACAATGAGGAAGATAATGATGGCATACCTCTTGGGTTGCTGCTGCTGGGAGCTCTGCCTGGCGTTAATGAAGCTGACTGTGCTGGAAATGAACACGGGTGCAACGACGAGGAGAAGGATGAGGGTGTACATGGAGATGAGAGCTGCCCGGCAGTGCTGCTGCTCTTGTGATGGGCACAGGAATGTCACTGTGGGAATGACAACAAACAGAGCGAAGAAGGCACAGAATTGGAAACTAAGCACCAGCCACACCAGGCGCAGAGAAGGCTTCCAGCAGCAGCAGAGCCAGCAGAGCTTGTACCACATAAAGGTGTTCTGCATCATCCAGAGCACCCTGTAGGTGGAGACCACTGAGAGCTGGAAAAGGATGTCCAGGTACATCAAGGGCAGGATAGGAGGGCAGGACACATCCTCCACCAGGAAGAGGAGGGCGGAGGGGAGTGCAAAGAAGAGGAAGAGGAAGTCAGTGAAAGCCAGGTCAAAGATGCCAAGGTTGCAGGTTTTCAGTCTGAGGAGCCAGAGCACAGCCCCATTCCCAGCCAGCCCACAGAGGCCAATGAGCAGTGTCACACTGTGTATGGCCACGCTGGTGACATCTGTCTCACACAGATCATCTCCTTCAGTGGGTGAGGCAGGAGATGGGGACACGGTGGTCACCTCCATGGATGGACGCTGGCAGGCAGTGGGATGTGGCCCCTGGCTGTGGTCAGAGTGGATGGGCAGTCAGTGCTTGGAGAATCCAGGGATGGACCATGTGGCTCCTCAGCAGCTCCCTGCTGTGGGAAGGATTCAGTGGGGAAGAGTGAGGTGCGAGGGTTTTCAGCAGGGCATGTGGAAGAAAAGCTCAGGGCAGAGGAGGGGGGAGCTGGAGGGGGCACTGGGGTCAGCCGGAGAGGGTGTCAGGAACAGAGCAGCTGCTGCAGGAGAGGAAGGTGGGGTAGGGAGGAAGGCAAACATTCCACTGACCTGTTCCCTGTGGGGCAGCAGCAGGCAAAGGGGTCTGTGCAGATCAGCGGCGCTTCCTGGTCCCTCTTGCTCCTTTGGGATCCATGTCCTAAAGCGGCTCCTGCCAGGTCAGGGACATGAGGGAGAAAGTGCCCAGATCACCAGGAGCTCCCCATTCTCATCCTGCTGGCACCTCTCTGTGCCCTGTCCTCGTGCTGCTCCCCAAGGCTAAATGGGGTCATAGGGCAGGCGGAAATTGTTTTACAACTTCAGCTACGTCAGAGCTCCACTCCCTCATTGTTATTTATCTTGATTATTTTTTTTTCTTGGCCCCAAAGGAATTGGCTTTTGTCACAAGTCCACATGAAGGATTTTGCAAATGGCTCCTCTATTTCTTCTGATTAGAAACATTCCTTCCCTGCACAATGTCCCATTCTCCAACTGCCTTCTCTTTAACATTCCTCATTTCTCTTCCCTGAGGGGTCATTGTCCCTCCAGCAGCAGAGGGATGCTGGTGGTGCTGGTGGCACTGGAATGCTGCTGGCAGTGCTGGCAGTGCTGGTGAAGAGTCTGGCTTCTTGTCAGAAACTGCTCCCATTTTGGGAAAAGCTCCAGAATCATTGCCAGAACTACCCCTTTGCCCAATGAAGCAAAACTGAGGCAAGAATTCCCATTTTTGCATTCTCCCGCAGGCTCACACAGCTCAAGGGAAGGACAGCACTCTGTTGCTTGCAGCCAGGCTATCAGCAATTGGGGCCCACCCTAATTACTGCCAATCCCCTTGATGATGCAATGAAAGCTATCAGGGACCAGGGTGCTGTGAACTCCCTGCCAGCCCTTCACCAGAGCTGCTCCTGCTCCTCCTCAGTCCTCGGAACGCTTGGGGTTGTTTGTGACACCTGATCCCAGACTGTCCCTTTGCAAGCAGAGATAACTGCCGCTATACCAGATTGCTCCAAACCCCATCCAGCCTGGCCTTGGTGACTTTCAGGGATCCAGGGACAGCCACAGCCTCACAGGGCAACCTGTGCCTGGGCCCCAGCACCCTCACAGGGAAGGATTTCTTCCCAATATCCAATCTGACCCCACCCTCTGTCAGTGGGAAGCCATTCCCCCTTGTCCTGTCACTCCATGCCCTTGTCCAAAGTCCCTCTCCACCTCTCCTGGAGCCCCATCAGCTCCTGGATCATGAAGTGTTTGCCCTTGAAAAGATTGGGGTGGTGAGGGGATGTGAGATTCCATAGCTGGGGACACAAACACGGTGTCAGCAGGGAAGAGAGGTGACAGTTCTGGTCCCAGGGCCAGCAGTTTCCAGGAGAAGCATCCCAATCCCTGAGGCACATGTCAGCCTGGGTAGGAATCATCTCACCTCAGCTTTCTAGGAATTGCTTGGAATTCACTGTAGGCTGCTGTCTGACTGCCAAGGGAGTGTAGAGGATGACTCAGAGGAAACCTGCAACGTTCCAAGGATTAAAGCCACGGTGTTGTCAATGCAGAGAGATGGGGAGACTGACTTGGTGATCAGAATCCAATTTTATTGTGGGATACAAATCTTTATATACTATTTCAGGGGGACTAGTAATGTGTACTACAATGATTAGGTTAAAATCACATACACAATGTTATGCATCTAACAACATCTCTTGCTTCCAGAGTTTAATGGGATTTTCTTTTTCCGGTAAACCTGCCTTATTAATTCTTTTTGCAATCTAGGTCTAATTTTCAAAGTTCTGTTTGCTTTTGCCAAGGCATTCTGTTATCAAACTCCTATGTTAACCAGGTCCAAAGTCCATCATCTGTCTTGTGTCCCCCAACATTCCAATACCATGGGAGTAGCATTGATTTGCCTCTTCTCAGAAGAAATGACCTGGCAGAACTCCTAAATCATCCATCTGCTCTCTGCCAGTGCTCCAGCTCATGCACAGAATTTATTATTGTATGAATCCTCTTGGAAACTGAATGTTTAAGGTGAAGTACCACTGAACTTGCAGTATACAAGTGGGAAAAATAGATTTGAATCAGAAATCAAAGTTTAACAGGACATTTGTACTGCAGGGTACCAAAGATCCACCTCAAGAATGAGAGGGGGAAAGTTCAGGCTGTTCAAAAGACAAGATTTTGGGATTGAGGTTGCTATAAAATAGAATAGAAGCTGAGATGGAGCCCAAGTGCTTTGGGCACAGGTGTGGTTGCTGAGGCTCTCTCCCGTTGCTCATTTCCCGGGCAGAGTGAAGAGCAGCTGAGGAGCAGAGCCCTGAGCCCGTGGCAGGCTCTGAGGCAGCTGCCTGTGTGTGAGAGCCCTGGAGAACACGAGGCAGCACGGAGAGCAGGGGCTGTGGCAGGAGCTGGGACAGAGCCCGTGCCGGACGCTGCTCGGGCTCAGCCCGCGGGCTGCGCTCCCCTTTGCCAAGGGACCATTCCAGGGAACCTCCTGCAGATCCCGGCCCAGGGACAGCAGCTGGAGCCTGGCAGCTGCGCAAAGGAATTCACCTCTTCTGTAATTGTTGCATTGCAGAGGTCTGTTGAGGATGTGCCTAGGAAATAGGGACAACACCTGGGAGTCATCATCAAGTGGAATGATCATGAAAGAGAACCATCATGAAATAGAGCCACTCTAACCCAGTGTTGGAAGGGAGCCACAAGGTTCATGGAGTTGAGCTCTTGGCCCTGCACAGGACATCTCAACAATCCAGCCTGTGCCTGAGAGCATTGTCCAAATGCTCCTTGACCTCTGTCAGGCTGCTGCTGTGTGCAGCAGGAGAACTCCTGCCTTGGCTGGATGCAGACTGACGTGAGGAATCCTCATGGAATTGTTTGGGTTAGAAGGAACGTTAGAGATCATCTCATTCCATCTTTCCTTCTACCATGGTACAGGACATCCAGGAAAACTTATGTTTGAAATCTTTGCTCTTTTGAAAGGAAGCTCAGGTAGGGGTAGGCCTGGGTGACTGGGAAGTAGAAAACGTACATTGGAGGATCATGATCCTCCTGCATTTGCCTTCGGAGAAATTCCCTGGCTGAGTTGTTCATCCCTGGAAAAGAGGTTGCACCTTGGAAAGTGTCTTTCCAATAAACAGGAAAATGGGAGACAGAGAGAGAAAAACCTTCTCAGATGTCCAGGTGTCTCACTCTCATGTGTATGTCCAAAGCCTGACTCACCGCACAAGGCTTTCACTCTCACCTGCCTTTGCAGAAGCAGTGGCACGTTGTTTTCCCCTGGATTTAAGGCAGTGGGAAAGGAGGGACAACTTCCCCCTGAGCAAGAGATGTGGCTGCTGCCCAGGTCTCTCCCAGCAGGAATCAGGAGCTCTTGGCACTGCCAACATCATCCCAAGCATTGCAGGCACGTGCCTTAGGAAGGGCTCTGGTATGAGACAGGAACCTGCCTTGCTCCCAGAGCAGCCAGAGGCTTTAGAATGGGATAAAAGAAAGAAATGAACCATTTTGGAAACTGTTTAACAGGGACAGGCCCTGCAGTGAAGCCGGGATTTTGTTTATTCAACAAATTCAGAGGCTGGGACTACCAGAGGGGAAAGCAACAAAAACCATGAATGCAAATCTGATTGAGGGGTGGTTACAGAATGACAAAGATCAGGAGAGGCTGGGCTGTGGCTGGAGCTGCTGTGCAGAGTGGCTGTGCAGCTCCTCCTGAGGGTGGCCAGGTTCAGGATGGAGTTGCTCAAGGGCTTCCCTGGACACTGATGCTGGGGAACCAGAGGATGGATGGTCCCAGTCTGCACAAGAGCAGCATAACCCCCTAATCTCTGTGCAATTCAATGGTCCAAGCATCTGGTGATGGGAATTTCCATATTCCATGTACTTGGCACAGGAGTTCAGTGGAGTTCAGAATTGACCCTGCACTTTACTCCGAAGAATTCAATTCTGGAATTGAAGAATGTAAGAAATTCCCACTGAAAGGATAAGGGAATGTTGCTGTCCCTCCCCAGCTCTGCAGCCCTACCTGGTGTCCCTTCCCATCAGCTGGGAATGCAGGGCTGGCTCTGCTGGACAGAAGGGGAAGGATGCTCCCAGTGATCCCAACCCCTCTACTGCCATCCAGAGGCACCAGCCCTGCAGGGATTTGGGAAATCACTGCCACTCCATGATGGGTGTGTCCCCAGGGATTAAGGTGTCCCATTCTTTGCAGGCAAGAGCTCCCTGGAAACACCATGAAACTCATCTGCTGAGCCAAAGGAGATGGAGTTCATTCCCTGGGACCGAGGCCATGAGGGTCACTGCATGGGGAATAGAGCTGGGGAACGGCACTGAGCCCAGCTGCACTGCTTGGAGCCATGTGGATCCAGGAGGGAGGAGGAAAGCCATGCTCCAATGTGCTCCCTGCAGAGCATCCCACAAAAATCAGCCAAGACAATGCCCCTGCTCCCTTCTCCTGCAGGAGTACAACATGACGGGGAGGGTGATGCTCTGGATATTTATTGATCAGGTGACTCAAGGAATCCCTCAGTCACTGTCCTAGGGTCACTTAGCAGTGCAGTGGGAGGAATTAACAGGCTCAGACCCCCGTGTTCATGGCAGGATCATTTCTCCATGCAGTTTCTTTTTCTGCTCCTCAAAGACCCTCTGGAGGGAGAGCCGGAGGGACCCCATGGAGCATGGCCTCCAGCACCTCCCCAACAAGAAGTAGATGAAGGGTTTGATGCTGCTGTTGATGCAGGTGAGCAGGAAAAAAACCTCTGATGACACAACGATGTAACTGAGTTGCTGCAGGAAATTCCAGAGGCTGAGGAGGAGAGTGAAAAGCGCAATGATGAGGATAACGATGTCGCGCCTTTTGGGCTGCTGCTGCTGGGAGCCCACCTTGGAATTAATGAAATCAACTGTGATTGAAATGAGCATGGGTATAACAAAGAGGAGCAGCATGATGATGTACATGGGGATGAGAGCTGCCCGGCAGAGCTCCTGCTCATCTGATGGGCACAGGAATGTCACTGTGGGGATGACAGCAAAGAGAGCAAAGAAGGCCCAGTATTGGACACTTTCCACCGCCCACGTCAGGCGTAGAAGAAGGTTACAGCGACAGCAGAACTAGCAGAGCTTGTACATATATACAACACGTCTCCTGGGCATCAGCCATAACAGCGCCCAGTAGTAGGAGACCACTGAGAGCTGGAAAAGGAAACTCAGGTAGAGCAGGGGCATAACAGGAGAGCAGGACACATCCTCCACCAGGAAAAGGAGGGCCGAGGGGACTGTGAGGAGGAGGAAGAGGAAATCAGTGACAGCCAGGACAAAGAAGCGATAGTTGGGGATTTTCAGGTTGAGGAGGCCGATGACAGCCCCATTTCCAGCCAGCCCACACAGGCAGATGAGCAGGGTCACACTGTGTATGGCCACGGTGGTGACATCTGTCTCACACAGATCATCTCCTTCAGTGGGTGAGGCAGGAGATGGGGACACGGTGGTCACCTCCATGGATGGACGCTGGGCAGGCAGTGGGATGTGGCCCCTGGCTGTGGTCAGAGTGGATGGGCAGTCAGGGCTTGGAGAATCCAGAGATGGACCATGTGGCTCCTGAGCAGCTCCCTGGAGTGGGAAGGGTTCAGTGGGGAGGAGTGAGATGTGTAGGGGAGGAGGGCAGTGGGAATGGTGGGGTGTGAGAGGGAGGTGGGAGGGTTGGGCTGTTTGGCACAGGGCAGAGGAGGGGGGACCTAGGGAGGGCCGTGTGGTCACCAGGAGAGGGTGTCAGGAACAGAGCAGCTGCTGCAGGAGCGGAAGGTGGGGTAGGGAGGAAGGCAAACATTCCACTGACCTGTTCCCTGTGGGGCAGCAGCAGGCAAAGGGGTCTGTGCAGATCAGCGGCGCTTCCTGGTCCCTCTTGCTCCTTTGGCATCCATGTCCTAAAGCAGCTTCTCCTAGGTCAGAACCATGCAGAAGAACGTCTCCACATCACCAGGAGCTCCCCACTCCTATCCCTCTCTGCCCTGTCCTGGTGATGCTCCCCAAGACTCAGTGGGGTCACAGGGCAGTCGGAATTGGTTTTACAACTTTGTCTGTATCAGATTTCCACAGCTTAGTGTTACTGATCTTGACTTTTTTTTCCTTTGCTACAAAGGAGGTCGATTTTTAAATGGCTGTGCAATATTTTCTGATAAGAAACAGTCCTTCCCAGCTCAAGGTGCATTCTGTAACTGCCTTCCCTCTCACAGTAGGTTTCTACCATTCCTCACTTCTCTTCTTTGAGAGGTCATGCTCCCTCCTGCAGCAACAGAATGCTGGAGCTGCTGGTGGCGCTGGAGTGCTGGCAGTGCTGGTGAGGCAGCTGGGTGTTTCTCAGAAGTAACTCCGAGTCTAGGAATGGCTCCATGATACTTGCAAAAAGATGCCCTGGGCCTAACGAAGCACAGTTGAGCTGCTTCCTTGTTCTAACCCCATACCATCCTCATTCCTGCCCCCACTCCCCATCCCCACCCCGCTCCATCCTCACCCCATCCTATCACATCCCACAGGTTTCCCAGATGGAGCTGTTCCCTCACTCTGAGCGTGGCCTGTCAGGCTCTGCTCTCCTCCAGTGCGGAGATTTGGGATTCACGGCTTCCAGACCCCCTGCAACCCGCTCTGACCCTCTCCTGGCCACTCCAAAAATGACTCCAATACCCCAGATGCCCCTGGGACCCCGTCCCCCCCCGAACACCATTGATCTTCCCCTGCTCCACCAGGGACTCCTCGCAGTGCCCTGCTCCTCCTGGCCATAGGGTTCTAGGACCCAGGAGGGAGGAGGAAAGCCCAGCTCCAAGGTGCTCCTCAGGATCACACAGGATGATAAATGTGGCTGGAGCCAGTGCAAAAACAGATTTGGAAGCCTGCAGGGGTTTTGGGGCAAGTTCTGTAACAAGCAGCAAGAGCACATGGCCAAAGGAAAAGTTCAAGGCAAGGTCACCTTTAATATCTCAGCACTCAGTGAATGAGACCACCAGAGACCCCTCTGAATAATCCTCCAGGCCCAGGAAAGGACTTGGAGAAGGAGGTGGATGCATGGAAATGAGTCCTAGGAAAGTGATGTTTATATATTAGATAAGAAACACACTTTATTGACTCTGTGTGGTTGTGATGGATAAAACCCCTGTTGTAAAGTCTCACCCCAAACAGAAATTTGGAGTGATCCTTCTGTGTGTCGTCTGCTTCCTCATGCTTCTCATTGTGTTGGAAAGTTCATTCTGGCTGATTTTGGTATCACTCCAAATTCCCATCTCCACTCCTCATGCCATGCCATGCCATGCCATGCCATGCCATGCCATGCCATGCCGTGCCATGCCATGCCATGCCATGCCATCCCATCCCATGGCCGCTCCCCGTGTTGAAGCCCTGTCCCTCAGGCTCTGCTGCTCTCCAATCAGGACATTTGGGATCAGCACCATCCAGATCCTTCCTGGCGCCTCCTGCTCCCTCCCACACGCCCAGACCCCCGGGGACGCTGCCCCCCCTGCCCGCCAGCCCCGCTGCACCCGGGAGCAGGGACATCTCTGCTGTGACACTCACAGAGCCCTCGGGGTGGGGAATGCTGAGCCCCTGGGCCATCGTGTCCGTGCCAGCCCAGCTCTGGCACTGGGCATCATGGCTGCTGCAGGGAGCACAAGCCATGGCTGTGTCCTCTCCCTCCAGCCACATTCCCGGCTGGCAGCAGCAGCCAGAGGAAGCCGGGAAGCGCTGGCAGAGGGGGCAAAGGCAGCTCAGGGTTCACGGTGCTGTTTATTGATATCAGACCTCAGTGGGATGCAGGAACCAGGTGCCAGGGGGAATTCTGGGGTCACAGCCGTGTTGGGAAGGATCCCTTTCAGGAAAGCAGGTTTTAAGTGTTCTGGGAGGTGTGAGAGAGGAGGGAAAGCCATGCTCCAATGTGCTCCCCGCAGAGCATCCCTCCCACATGGCCCTTGGCAATGCCCCTGCTGCCTTCCCCTGCAGGAATTGAGGTGGGAGGGTGACCCTGTGGATGTTTATTAATCAAGTGACTCAAGGAAACCCTCAGGCAATGTCCTGGGGTGCTTCATCAGTGCAGTGGAGGGGATCAACAG